CTCTAACTCTAGCACTTTCTATTATATTTTAATTATACTTTATCTATTTATCTTCTTTTTTATATAAAAAAAAACAACAACAAAAAAACACTAGCTTTCTATTTTTTCTATTCTAGCTACTTGTTTTTCTTACTATGTGTACTGCGTTAGGCTAACCGAGACTTGTCATTTGCACTTACATATTGTTGCTCTTTTGTTAGTTTTGATTGCTTCTATTGTTCTCATTTGTAAGTCGCTTTGGATAAAAGCGTCTGCTAAATGACTAAATCTAAATGTAAATATTATATTATATTATTATATTATATTACCCTTTTCACATACTGTGATAAGTTTCCACATTTATTACTATTGTAAATTTAGCATTTTTAAAATAAAATTATTATTATTTGAAATATGTTAAATTTATAAAAATATACTTTGTGTTATATTAATACCTTGACATAAAATTTCAGAAATCTAATCAGTGCTGCTGTCTGGGTGTTTCTAACCAAGTCTGAGGGAGCGATGTCACATTTTGACATCTTTCTTGCTTCTAACCACTGTAATCAATCTCTCCATATTTTTTCCTCCTTTGGAAAGTCATAGAAATGCTATCGTGGATTTTTTTTTCTTTTGCTATTGGAGCAAATGGAAACACAAAAATATTTTTGTGGTAGCGTTTACCAGAAGTTTACCCAACTATGACAACTTCTGCTTCTGAGAACCCCGCAGTTGGAAAAAGGGTCCATTATACTGTATATTATATTATATTATATTATATTATAAAAAGTAGATTATATGCTCAAAAATGTTTTGATACCTAATTATTGTAAAGGGTTACCATAAAGTTTGTTTATAAGTTTGTCAGTTTGAGATATTATTTTTAAAAGAGAGAGTTTTATTTTTGGCTCTTTTATTAATTGCGAAGTAAAAACAGGACAGGTATTTATGAAGAGATGTCCATATGACCACTACAGATTTTTGTATCAAGAGTGTATGTGCTAACTGTTAGGCTTCGACAATCATTTATAATTGTTCATCTGAGCTTGCCTTTGGTTTTAGGCCTAGTTCTTTACACAGCTGATCCATCTTTTCCAGCTCACTGCTTATGCTCAGCACATCAGCATTCATCATCAAAAATGCAGAAGCAGTTTCAGTGGGAATACTGTAGTTTCTCTCCACCACCAGAGAGAAGCCACCAGGCAGAGAGTACTTCACTGTGCTGGTCCTGGTCCAGCTGTCATACATCTGGATCCGGGCCGAGTTCAAGAAGTTCTTCATGGTCATACTTTTCATTTCAGTGTGGGTCAGAGGGAGCTGGAGACACTTTGAGAGATGCAGCATGATGGAGCATGGCTCACTCAGTTCTGTGCATGTCCGAGATGTATCTAAGACCTTCTCAGGACACTCATTGTTAGATGTCTCTCCAAAGGCAGCACCTGTTTCCGATTTTTCTTCATGTGATGAGTTGAGTATTTTGCTTTTCTTTTCTTCAGAATGTCCAGCTTCCAACTTTTTGGTGTTGTATGATTGAGTGTGATTAAGCGCCTGTTCTTCTGCCAGGATCACTCCCCATTGACCGTTATGCTGATTCAACCAGGTCTGTGTAGAAGCCAGTTGGAAGCTGTCAGTATCGTAGTAGTACTCTACTTCTAAGGTTTCCCCCTCACAGCGCGCGCCCATTTCCTTGAGGCGATGCACTGTCTGCTCTCCCAGCTCATTCTCCATCTTTACTGGAACCCCCATGCTGTCTTCAAACACTTTAGGGCTTTCATCCGCTCTCATTGTATTTAGAATCATCTGTTTGAATTCAGAATTTGTGTTTTAGTATTACATTTTCGCTAGTGCCAGGCAGAATCTGACATTTTTAATTGTATTTGTCAGACTGGCTTGCAGTAAGACGGTGTATGTGAAAAACAGTAGTCAAATTCAGTTATCTAGAGGAATAATTGCAGAGAAATATATAGAGAACATCAATTACATTTCTTATCTCAACTTATTTAAAACAGTCTAGCATTTGATCAATAATTTAGAAAAAGAGACACCACCATTATTCTTTGCTCTAGTTATTTTAGTCTTATACTTATGTGACATTGAGGGGTAAAAATGATATATTTGCACATTGTTGTCCATGACAACTGACTGATGCTACTGGGAATGGGCTTTTTGGTTAGCAGAAGCTTAAAGCTAATCAAATATAATTGGAATAGTACAATTTCAACTCGACAAGTTAAAGTAAGTAAATAATAAAAATCATTATTATACTACTGTAGTGTTGAATTCAGTGTTTATTGTATCAAGCGTTACCTCTGTAGGGCAATGTACCACCAAACACAATGTTTTGTAGGTTACAGTTTGGCTGAAGTTTTCTTTTTTAGTTACTGTATGTTGTAGTTACAGTTTGTGTCTATGGTTACTATGGTACGATGCATTGGAACTTAACAGCACTAACTTCTGAACTTTCTATTCATCTAAGAATACTGAAAACATGCATCACTGATCACCGTTTCCAATAGATTTTAAAACGGCACAATTGTTTTCAGCATTGATAAGAAATATTTCATGAGAACCAAATCAGCATATTAGAATGATTTCTGAAGGATCATGTGACACTGAAGACTGGGGTAATGGCTGCTGAAAAGTCAGCTTTGTTATCACCGGATATTAATATAGAAAACAGCTATTTTAAATTGTAATAATGTTTCACAATATTTCAAACAAATGCAGCCTTGGCGAGCATCAAAGTCTTTTATTTAGGCATTCAAAAGCAAGCCGTATAGACAAATACAGCCAAATAAACAAATGCTGCAAACATGAGTGCTAACAGTATTGACTGAATTCTTCACACTCGATTACACTAGTTAAATGCTGCTGCTCTCAGGTAAACAGTGAGTTCATCCACGCCTCTGGCTGGGATATTTAACTTTGAAACAGTATAGAATAACATTTCATCCATGTTAACAATTGTGTAATAAATCATGAAGCATAAAAACCTCTCAATTCTATTTGTCTATCCACTTTTCGTAATTTTTTCTATAGCTAATATATATATATATATATATATATCATTGTGAAAATTGGGAAACCAACCAACCTTGATGATCTGCCAATGATAAAGTTTGTGGTAGAGTCTGCTGCACAGCTACACCCTGATTAATGGTTTGTATTTTAATCATAAAGTCAGAGTTTATTGAGATCATAGTGATCATATGTCTTTCTTCCTGTTATCTCTCTTTCTCTTTCAGAATTACTAAAGAACCGCCACTTGGGATGGCCTTCACCAACCCTACCATGCAGATATTAGCCATGTGAAAGATCTGGAAAAACAAAATGGGTATGCAAATCTATAAATATTGTATTCAAGTATTATTGTTACTAGTTAGTTGTTGCGCAAATAAATGTTTGCTAATGGAGTCATATAATGAAATACCATTTTGAAATTTGATGTACTATGTGAAGTTTTAAAATTCTAATTTATTCAGGTAGATATGGTGAAGAAAAAAAGTTTATTATGATTGTTTTTTTTGTGTGTATAAACGTTGACTAACATTATACGCAGACCTCAGGGAAAATAAAATTAGACAAATGTATGATATGACCACTTAGAAAAAATTACGTTAGATAGTGTAATATTAAAGGGGTCATATGATGCTGCTAAAAAGAACATTATTTTGTGTATTTGGTGTAATGAAATGTGTTTATGCGGTTTAAAGTTAAAAAAACACATTATTTTCCACATACTGTACATTATTGTTTCTCCTCTATGCCCCGCCTTTTTGAAACGCGTCGATTTTTACAAAACTTACAGCGAGAATAAAAGTTACTCCTTCTTTCTTTGTGTGAACATTTGGGCGGTGTTATGCAAATCTTCCCACATAGTGAGGTAGGTATGTGGGGGCGTGTTCGAACGAGCCGTTTTAGGTAGGTGTGGCTAACTCTTAACTTTTATAAAGAATATCTCTTTGGATTTGAGACTTTAGTCTTTGCAACTTTACAGATCTTCTTTATGCACCAAGAGCTTGTAACACTCTAAAGAGAAAGGAAAAAATGAAATTGCATCATATGACCCCTTTAAAGCTCATGTTTTTCCTCATGTTTGAGCTTCATTAGCTACATCCATGTACAATATCAAATAGCGCTTAATGGAAACTGCTCTGCATTACACCGGAACTTTTTCCCATCTTGTCTGTTTGTCAAACACCTTTTCTTGATATCTCATTGCTGAAACTGCTCTTTCATAACTTGAGCTGAATATGCTGAGGTCATCTCTTCTAGTTTGTTGTTGCTTTACATAATTTTCTCTCTTAATGAGCACAAAGGGTGGCACAGTGTTATTTTATTATCATTGAGATACTATTATAGTTTTTATTTTTTTATATTCATTTTAAAGTTTTAGCAATTTTGTATGTTTTGTCATTTTATTAGTTTTTTTTAATATGTCTATGTAGTTTTTATTTTTTATTTCAGTTTTATTTTTATTTTAGTACAGCAAGTAAAACATAAAATGCTGCTTTGGCAAGTAGCTGAAATACAATAAGTTTAAATTTGGTTTTATTTTAGTTAACATTTATTTTAAGCATGTTTTTTTTTTACACCAATAATAACCCTGTGGTGATGAGTCGTACTTGGGAAATTGCAAAAAAAAAAAAATATTTACAAATAATAAGCTACATCTGCAAGTCTCCCATTGATTTGAACAGGCTATGATGTTAACTTCTGTTAATTTCAGAATACTGCTGGCCCTGTGCTTTTTTTGGTAATAGTAATACATTTGAGTGTTTTATTTTAAGGACATATTTATTTAACATTGTACAGTAAACGATGTTTGAAAATGTTGGATGGCCATTTACTATCAAACTGAACATGTGGATCCTAAAGCTCCACTGTTTTTGAAGGTAATAATCTGCAGTTATTCCCTGTTACTCGTGCACTTCAGTTCTGGACTGAATTAGGCCATACAGACTGAAATATTTCATTGAACAGTACATAGTAGAGATGCTCTGCAGGGTCTTTTCATGAAATGGCTATGATATGGATATGGCTCATTTAAACAAATAATGGCTGGCTGGCAGAATGTAGGGCAAAAGCAGCTAGTCATGTTGAGGGGAGAGATGCTGCATTTATAGTGAAGACCTCCCTCTGCTGGCAATATTATGCATTACTCCTCAGAACGAGTAGATCCCAAATACAGCAGCACGGTGTGTTAAACAATAATGATGATAATAAAAATACAATATTTTATTTTAAGTCATAATTTATATTTAATACGCTTAATAAAACCAAAAAAAATTCTAAGTTGCCAAATACACCAATTTGGACACAAAATGTGACCCTGGACCACAAAACCAGTCATAAGTAGCGCGGGTATATTTGTAGCAATAGCCAAAAATACATTGTATGTATTATGACAAAAATCATTAGGTTATTAAGTAAAGATCACGTTCCATGAATATATTTTGTAAACTTCCTACTGTAAATATATCAAAACTTAATTTTTGAATAGTAATATGCATTGTTAAGAACATCATTTGGACAACTTTAAAGGCAATTTTCTCAATATTTTGATTTTTTTTTTTTTTTTTGCACCCTCAGATTCCAGATTTTCAAATAGTTGTATCTCAGCCAAATATTGTCCTATCCTAACAAACCATACATCAATGGAATTATTAGTTTTTTTTAATATGTCTATGTAGTTTTTATTTTTTATTTCAGTTTTATTTTTATTTTAGTACAGCAAGTAAAACATAAAATGCTGCTTTGGCAAGTAGCTGAAATACAATAAGTTTAAATTTGGTTTTATTTTAGTTAACATTTATTTTAAGCATGTTTTTTTTTTACACCAATAATAACCCTGTGGTGATGAGTCGTACTTGGGAAATTGCAAAAAAAAAAAAATATTTACAAATAATAAGCTACATCTGCAAGTCTCCCATTGATTTGAACAGGCTATGATGTTAACTTCTGTTAATTTCAGAATACTGCTGGCCCTGTGCTTTTTTTGGTAATAGTAATACATTTGAGTGTTTTATTTTAAGGACATATTTATTTAACATTGTACAGTAAACGATGTTTGAAAATGTTGGATGGCCATTTACTATCAAACTGAACATGTGGATCCTAAAGCTCCACTGTTTTTGAAGGTAATAATCTGCAGTTATTCCCTGTTACTCGTGCACTTCAGTTCTGGACTGAATTAGGCCATACAGACTGAAATATTTCATTGAACAGTACATAGTAGAGATGCTCTGCAGGGTCTTTTCATGAAATGGCTATGATATGGATATGGCTCATTTAAACAAATAATGGCTGGCTGGCAGAATGTAGGGCAAAAGCAGCTAGTCATGTTGAGGGGAGAGATGCTGCATTTATAGTGAAGAACTCCCTCTGCTGGCAATATTATGCATTACTCCTCAGAACGAGTAGATCCCAAATACAGCAGCACAGTGTGTTAAACAATAATGATGATAATAAAAATACAATATTTTATTTTAAGTCATAATTTATATTTAATACGCTTAATAAAACCAAAAAAAATTCTAAGTTGCCAAATACACCAATTTGGACACAAAATGTGACCCTGGACCACAAAACCAGTCATAAGTAGCGCGGGTATATTTGTAGCAATAGCCAAAAATACATTGTATGTATTATGACAAAAATCATTAGGTTATTAAGTAAAGATCACGTTCCATGAATATATTTTGTAAACTTCCTACCGTAAATATATCAAAACTTAATTTTTGAATAGTAATATGCATTGTTAAGAACATCATTTGGACAACTTTAAAGGCAATTTTCTCAATATTTTGATTTTTTTTTTTTTTTTTAAAGTTTATTTTCAGATGATGTATAAATCTCAATTTCAAAAAATGTACCCTTATGACTTTGTGGTCCAGATGGTCCAGAGAGGTGTAATGTGTGTGCTTGTGTGTTGTATTCC